CTTCTGCTTAAGGAAATAGCGACGCAATCTTTTATTAGATTCTTTTTTTCTTATCATTATTGCCATTATTGTCAAAAATCACACGCACATCAATATTTTCTTGAAATCTATATAAAAACACTTGAAAAATATTAGTTTTACTCATTCCCTTCTCAATTTCATCCACATCCGAACTTTAAGTCCTTCCTCTTCACGATTAACCAATAAATAAAATGTCCAAAAAATTATTAAAGTCCAAGACGTCGATAATGACAAATACTATATAAGCTTGGGATCAAGCGCTGAAGAAACGTTCGACTTTCCAGACCCCCAGAGCATTGTACAAGTGTGCAGAGGGCTTAGACCTCCCTCGAAATTCATCATTTTTAGGATATCGCTCCAGGGTTACCTCGCACAGAGGAAGCTGGAGCGATGTCGGGTTTCCAAAATAGCTTCACAATTATGGAACAGTTTGGATCAGGAGTTCAAACTTAGGTTTGAACTTCTTTCCAACATGGTTAAGAAATTGTACAAAAGGAAGAAGTTGATTATACAAATGTATAATCGTAAGTTCATTGTTTAAGATATTTTTCTGATATTATTTAATACTTGATAATTGATAATTAATCCTTACAAATTATTTTAGCATCTTCTTCGCCTTTGACAATTAACGACGGCAGTAAAGATCAAAATAAAGAAACCAATAATGTTATTTCGATTGAAAAGAAAGAAGTAACTAATGAGGAAAGATTGGAGATCGCCACCCAATTATTTCCGGGTTTCTCGGAATTTTTATCATAGCTCCTCTTCTCTTCCCCCTTACTGTTACAAAATACTTTCGGATGAAATGTTGTGGTCTAATCACAACGAATGATAACAGAAAAAAAATTTTTTAAATCCCGTGCTACATAAATATTGATCATAAACTTGGTGATATGTTATGTATAAACTTGGTAATGGTTATATAACGGGGAATGCTAAAACCGGACATCACTATGTCATGATGATCATCAATAAATTCCTTAATATTGAGGGATGTTATACAATGCTGCGGCCCCA